TCGCTCATTAAATGTAACAACTTCGACAGCATAGAACAAGATTTTGGTGTATCAACATCGCCCACAGATGACCTGAAACAATAGCATGCCCATTACTTCGTGAGAAAGATTTCTTTTGACGATCAATTTCAAATTGGAATGAGCAAACTCCATTCGTCTAGCAAAGTAAAATTAGTTCCAACTCATTCGAAATACGTATGGTCTTATCAAAATAATGGTGTTCCACCATCCAATGAAGCTATTTATGCGATTTTCGTGATACCTAGTTTTGTTAACTGGTAATGCGAATTGAGTGCGAAAGGCTTCAGCGCATCACTGTAATGTCGCTTACTTTGGAATCAGGCGATATATTTCATTCCAAGCCAAATAGAGCGGTGCAAATCCAGTTCGTGAATCCAAAGGTTGACGGCAAGCTACCACGAAAAGAGCTAGACGCAAACAGAACATATATACCTGCAAGCATGAATTGCTCAAATTTTGAAGAAGTGATGCAGAAAACAACTCCACAAAGAATTTGGCGAACCTCATCTTCATTCCATACTTGTGATGCGCACTTCAATGTATCTATCACTGCATCAACCGCTGAGGCGATAAGTCGCACATTTTTAAATGACACTCCCTGGCGTTTCAATTCAACTGAAAGGGATACAGACAACTTTACCACTTTCTGCTCTTTACCATCCTTGCCTTCAAAACAAGTTTCTTTCGAACTCAGTTACTGCTAGGGCATATGGACTGAATTTATTCACATGCTAATTTGACTTGCTACACAAGAATAAAACACCCATGAGCTCGAAAGCTTCTTGTATCCATTCGACAAGAGACGTCCCCTGAACATCATGGCACGCAAATTTCGCAGAAAACTAGTCTCTGCGTTAGTATGATCTATAGAGCTGAATAAAAAGCTAGTTAGGGCTCAGAAGCATCGATGCCTCAGAAGAGTACAATGGACTCACCAGGGAGGGGTAGTCTACTTATCTTGGAACTTTGAATTCAGACCCAGAT